CCCCCCACTCCCCCTCCCTCCCCTCCCCTCCCTCCCTCCCCAGCTCGCGCGCGCGCCTCTGCTTCTCGCGACCGTCGCGGAAGCAGGCGAGGAAGAGGCCGACCCAGACCACCGCCTCGCCTAATTCAAGACTTACGCCTAAGGAAGTCATTCTTTAGTGAGGCCGACCCAGACCACCGCCTCGCCTAATTCAAGACTTACGCCTAAGGGAGTCATTATTTAGTGAGGCCGACCCAGACCACCGCCTCGCCTAATTCAAGACTTACGCCTAAGGGAGTCATTATTTAGTGAGGCCGACCCAGACCACCGCCTCGCCTAATTCAAGACTTACGCCTAAGGGAGTCATTATTTAGTGAGGCCGACCCAGACCACCGCCTCGCCGAGCGCGAGGAGTGTCCCCTCGGCCACGACGGCGGCCTACAGGAAGGCTCCAGGAAAGGTCTAGGAAAGGTCCGAGAAGTAGAGGCGTCCCCTCGGCCACGACGGCGGCCTACAGGAAGGCTCCAGGAAAGGTCTAGGAAAGGTCCGAGAAGTAGAGGCGTCCCCTCGGCCACGACGGCGGCCTACAGGAAGGCTCCAGGAAAGGTCTAGGAAAGGTCCGAGAAGTAGAGGCGTCCCCTCGGCCACGACGGCGGCCTACAGGAAGGCTCCAGGAAAGGTCTAGGAAAGGTCCGAGAAGTAGAGGCGTCCCCTCGGCCACGACGGAGGCCGACGGCTCCGCGCCCGCACGCGAGCCGAGGATCTGGCGCAGCGGGTGGGGAGAGATGGGGGAGAGAGGGGGGAGAGAGGGGGGGGAGAGGGGGGGGGAGAGGGGGGAGAGAAGAGATGGGGAAGGATGGGCGAGAGATGGGCGAGAGATGGGCGAGAGATGGGCGAGAGATGGGCGAGAGATGGGGGAGAGATGGGCGAGAGATGGGGAAGGATGGGCGAGAGATGGGCGAGAGATGGGCGAGAGATGGGCGAGATGGGAATGGCACTGGCGTGACGGTTGCCGCATATCTCCCCACGTCTCGCCACGTCTCTCGCCCATCTCTCGCCCATCTGTGGCCCTTCTGTCGCCCTTTCTTGGCCATTTCTTGGACATCTCCTGCCCATCTGT